TATCTATCTATCTATCTATCTATCTATCTATCTATCTATCTATCTATCTATCTATCTATCTATCTATCTATCTATCTATCTATCTATCTATCATGCTGTGCTATCTAGCTAGACTTTGGCATGTAGTCCTTATGCAACCCGTCTCTATTTCTGTCCCTGCCTTCTTTCCTTTTCATGCTGTGGAAGAAGCAGGAGGTTGGTCTCTGCCTCGTATAATTCACAACCTGCAGTTACAATCTGTCAGTCTATCCTGCTATTAAGTTAATTTGCCACCTTCTCTTTTTTTCTTCATATAAGCAATGTCAAGGTTAAGATACACAGCAAGCTGTTGTATTTTAATCTACATTTCATCATGTAATTAAAAAAAACATTTAGTTATTTGATTAATAATATTTTATCTTCTGAATTATGCATCTGTTATAGGGTTACAGCAAGTTCACAGCAAAGAGCATGAGGTGCACCTCACAACCATTTGCTCAGATGGACTTTGGTTATTCATGATATGAAATACACAATATCCTTTATATCCTTTGTTAGTGCTGGGTGAATGCTCAATGTATGAACACATGCCATCCCAACAATTAGACTGTACATTCCAATTGGTTTTCACTTTATGCTACTTTACGGAGATGAAACACTGCAATGTGTTTTACTGTTTTTTTCAACTGCTTTGGTATATTTCTCCAAACATATCTGAAGGTCACAGAAGCTGAAAAAATGCATTTCCTTAAACAGCTCATGCATGCAGAAAAACACTATAGTTAACCTGCACAATTCATGTGTCTCTGACACTGAGTGCCAACAATACAAGGCTAATATTTTTTCCAAGGATTAGTGACAACTACAGCATGTCCTAGTGACTCTATTCACATGCTGATTTCAGGGGCGCAGTGTTTTACATTCTACTTTGTAAAGCAAAAGAGCACCTATACATTTGCATAGCACGTAAGGAAAAACTGACTGACAACACAGCACTATACAATGAACAGAATAAAACTGAAAATCTTTTGTAGTAGAAAGAATCATCTGAACCTCTGCTGAATTTGTTTGTCTGTTTTCTCACAATTAGAGAATTGAAGAGTCTCTCATTTTTATGGTAGTTCCATTTTAATGGGCAGAGACAGAAAAAACACATAAGATCTCTTACACTCAGTGTTGGGGAGTAACGGAATACATGTACCGCCGTTACGTATTTAAAATACAAAATATGAGTAACTGTATTCTGTTACAGTTACCGTTTAAAAAGGTGGTATTTAGAATACAGTTACTTTGCTGAAATAAAAGGATTACACGGTGGTATTTTCCTGTTTCATATGTTCGGCTATGCCCTCTCTATTTTTGGTTTCCACGCCCCAAACAAAACGCGCATTAAGAGGCTCTAATGCCTGCATCTCAATCTCGCGGCCCATGTCACCTCTACTTGCAGCCCGCATAATGATGTGAATATTTAAAAAAATGATTCACAAAAATGATTTCATATGAAGGCAATAGGCAGAGTGTTACAGGCATAGCCCTAAAGAATGTAGCCTCATGGGCAGTGTAGTCCGTGCTGCAGTGAGAATGGACTGCCATACCCTTGTGTGTCTGTGAGCGCGAGGAGCGAGTAAAAGGAAAAGTAGGAGTTGTCACCAAGCAGAAACGGGAGCTGGAAGCATGTATATATAATAATAACCACTGCAGCCAAAAAGAGTGCCTGATGAGCCCAGTTGTAAGTAAGCTATTAAGACTCGACTATACACTTTTTTCGTGTTTTTCTCCAAAACAATAAGTTCCGTTGGAGCAGCCTTTCAATGCACAGCAAACAACCAAGTAAAGCTAGTTTTCGGCCACGAGCCCGACACGAACCTGACGTATTAGCCAGAGGTCGCTTTAGTACGGTTCAGAGCCGCGGACCTGTTTTATATACGTGCTGAATAGTTTTCTATACGAGATCGCTGCAAAAAGTGTAGCCTTACCTAACGTCAACCTGCTGTTACTTATTTTATATTAAGATTTAAACATCTGATTGGTATTGGTATGGCGAATAACCTTCAGTAAAAGTAATAAATCACACAGCAATAGTACATTCATGTAGTTGTAAAAAAGCATGATAATGTAATAGGTAATCCAAAGTATTCAGAATACGTTACTCTCATTGAGTAACGTAACGGAATACGTTACAAAATACATTTTGGGGCATGTATTCTGTATTCTGAAGTGGAATACATTTTAAAAGTAACCTTCCCAACACTGCTTACACTTACTCTTATTACTTACACTACTGACCTAAACATGTGGACAATTAGCTGGACTATTCTGCATGTGATGAGTCAACACAACATTTTATACAGTAAAAAATAAACAGAGTTTTTTATTCCAAAAAGAATCAATAAGTGTTCTGCTTAGTGATTTGCCAAATTGTATTGAAACATTTGAAAATGCCACTGTATAGAGAGCAGCTCTTTCTGAATAACAAAATGCTGTAAAAGATTTCTCATACGAACTTTAACTGTAATTTGAGAATTAAGCCAAAGCCACTGAGGAAAACGAAAAATTTTCCACATCATACACACATACGATGGTTAACCCCATGAATGACTTCTTACGTCCTTCATGAGGCCATGTCATGGAATCGCTTGAATAATCATTTAGCTTTTTAATTTTTCAGACAGATGACTAGATGCACTTTGAGGAATGCTGTATGCACGCCACTTAAATGCACCTTCACAGTCTCGCTCAAACGATATTTGTCATTTCCAAGCTTCTTTCTGTCCAGTACCTCTCCCTGCAGTTGTTTTGTTAACTGTTTCTACTTGTGTTTCAGGGAATCACCTTTGATGAGTTCAGATCCTTCTTCCAGTTTCTCAACAACCTTGAAGACTTTGCCATTGCCATGCAGATGTATAACTTTGCTGCACGCTCCATTGGACAAGGTATTAAAACTGTATTGAGCTTGAAATGCGGGCACTGAAGGTCTCTGCTTACACTCACTGATGCTGTGTTTTCTCCTTCAGGTTTTTCACTCAGCTGCACTTAGACAAATGATCAAAGTCATTTTTACTTTCTCCCCTGATAGATGAGTTTGCCAGAGCGGTGTATGTGGCCACAGGGCTCAAGCTGACACGTCACCTTGTAAACACCATCTTCAAGATCTTCGATGTTGATCACGATGACCAGCTGTCCTACAAAGAGTTCATTGGTATCATGAAGGACCGGCTGCACAGGGGAGCCAGGGTAAAGAACTTCCTTCTTTTTGAGAAAAAGTGCACTCAGCTCCAACTGAAAAATCTTTGTTTAGAAAAAGTTTGAAGCACAGCCAGTCACCAGGACACGAAAAAGGAACCACTTTTGAGAAATATACCTCCCTTCGCAGAAAGGTCTGAGGTCAAGTGGGCTCCAGAGCACTTACAAAGAGACAGGTTTCTCATTAAGATTTAGGGTGTACTCCCACTTGACCAGTTGCCTTATGCTCTGCCTGAGTACTGAGCACCCAAAGGCAGCTATAGTTTGGGAGTTCTATGGCCAGATGTAAACTACAGATGAACTGTACATGTGTAGCATGCCTGAGCCCAACTGAACCGCACATGGGCACATGGGCACATACTCCATTAACACAAACAACCTACAGAACCTAAAAGATCTGCTGCTGAACTTCCAGATACCTCGAGGCGCCTTCACAACCTATGACAGCAAAGCGTGTAATAGACACACTGGATTGCTGTGTCCAGTTCACACTTTACCTCTCTAAAGTGTGAAATGGAGACGCAAGTTGCAACAAGGGAAGAAAATATATGTAAAGCCATAAAGTCCACAGTGACCAAGAAAGGTATAAAGTACATTCTTGGCTCCCACTATGCCAGAAATTATTAAGCTAAGTGGCTAATTTGCTCATGAATGCATTAGTAATGTCTCTTTAAATGCTTTACTTTGATTATTTTCATGTTGGCCTGAAATGAAATATCTCCCTCTACTGGTACTGCAGCTTACTGCAGCTTCTGCATGCGTGTCCATTTCACGCTTTGGAGAGGCAAAGTGTGAAATGGACACTGTGGACCGGCGTGTCTATTACACGCTATGCCATGATACCAGGTTGTGTGCACACCTTGCTTTAGTGGGTCAAAGCTGTTTTGATAGCACCTAGAGGACCAGAAGAACGGTGTAGTCATAGCATCTGGGTTCTCAAGTATAAACTCTGACATCCAGCATTACCCAAAAACTTGGTCGAGGTGGAGTTACAATTTCAAAGTTAGCCACATAAACAAATTACAAGGATTTAAAACTATAGGATGTGTTATTTCTTGAGCATTTTAGATTCAAAAAAGAAGAGCTGAAATTTAAAACATGGGAGCTTCTTGTTGCCTGTTTCATTATAGAATAACAAATCAGTCTTTACCTTAAATGCAAACTAGCTTTACCTGTGCCAGGATTTAGTGTCACAGAGTAACAAAAAAACAGGAAATCCAAAACTACAATTATTATTGTTATTCAGCTGTTTCTTAAACCTTTTTTGTAGAAGAAGTTCTGCTGGTACAACTAAGCCATCCTTTACTCATGACTGTTTGTGCTCTTCAGTTGCAGTCAAGTAGTTAAGGTAAATCAACAGTTACCCAAAACAAAAGAAAAATGCATTTAACATACACACATGATAACAGGGTTAAAAATATTGATGAAAGACTTTTAGTAAGCATCAGGAATGTAACAAAAAAAGCTTAAATGGAAGATAATTTGCAGGCTTGTGGGTTGGAAATCACCTATAAGCAATTTGGTGATGCTGTCAGAAAAGGCCATACTGCCCCCCAGTGGTGGATTTTGATGCAATAACACTGCTCAGATCCTTTTTTTCTACAGAGGTTGTCATGTGATAATAAACTTGGCACCACTGTAGGCCTGGATGTTGCACTTTATATGGTCCCGTATGTCCCTTTTGATGCTGTCTTGGCCTCACTGTCTTGGCTTTTTAACAGTGTTCTCTTTTGTCCTTACTTTGCTGATGTACCTCTCTCTTCATCTCCTTTCTAACCCATGCTTTTTTCCCTATTGTCATGAATTTACCACACTTATACTTTTGTTTTTCTCACCTTCCATGTGCCCACCACTTTTGCGATTGTTTTCCTGTCTTCCTGCCTCACTCTGGCTGTCTACACACATCTCAGGGCTATAAAGCTGTGGAGCGTGCTACCTCCTTCAGGTCCTGTCTGAAGAAGGAGCTGGCAAGCAGATAAGTATCACTAACAGCTACAGTTCAAGGAGTTTGTTCGTTGTTATTTCTAGAGTTGCAGGTAGTTTCTTGACTTGAATTCAGTCTGGATTATGACTTCTTTTGCGTGTCTGATTCACCTGAACTGTTTAGCCTCATTACAATGTATCTACAGAATGGGTTTTCATATAATTCATAGAGTATACTGTACAATATTTTGTGAACCTGTATGTGTAAGAGTAGGAGCAGTAGGTTGCTGAATATCTTCAGTAATATCTGAGGGCATTTTACTCCACTGTGATACTTTAAAAACTGCCACTGTGTCCCAGTAGTTGCCATATTTTAGTTGACTGTACATTTTGAATAAAGTTTAAAGGTAGTGAGTTGTTGAAGTGAACTGCGTCCGATTGCTCTGTGGTTACCAGGTGAAGGGCAGACAGCACACCTCCTTCTCCAGATGTGTTCGCTCTGAGGCCCGGAGACAGGTGCACCTGTTGTGGAGGAGGTACAAGGAGCCATAGAGAGTGGACGAAATCTGATGGAGCTTCGACGTTAATTAATCAGGAGGAGCCAGTATTTGTGGAGCAGTTCTCCTGTCGACCTTCAGACTGTACATATGTGATTACTGCAAGCATGACCGCACAAAGCCGACTGATTCTCTCTGTGATGATAATAAATGTCATTCTTTTTTTCTTTTTTTTTTTGTTGCCCTGTTTCCAGTCATCCATCCATCCATTGATCTGATGTCAGTTATCCTGGGTATGATTTACATGTAGTTAAATGTTGATTTGTTACTATAGAAATTTAATGTCTGTTCTAACGCGATACCTCCACAATGGTGGGAACTTTGTCATTTTGTTTTTTATAATAAGGAGGAGAACTTTTGGTTAACACTGACACCCTGAAATCTATAGGCCCAAAAGTTGCTTTCTTTACTTTAATTATTGCATTTATTAAAACTTGTTTTGTTAGTTCCGCTACAGCACTGCAATCTATAGGAGCACAAGAATCTTTAAATGAGTTCTAGGGGATTAAAGTAACATCCATATAAAACTGATAACAGTTATACAATATGAAACCTGCATGTTGCTGAAACTATATAATTAATTGAATGTGTTGTGGATCTGTAATGTCCTCAACTCATTTATATTATGTTAAGCAGTAGTTCCATCTAACCCCTTACTTTTTGTTGCACGAACAGTATGACTCACACTACTGTTGCAGTTAGGAATGCTTTATTATCTTAATACTACAGCAGGTCTTGGTATGAAAAATGTATTTCAATATTTTTTCGGGGTGAATGTTTTTGCCTCTTTCGTGTTTCCTGGTTTCCTAGTATTCATAAGTAGATGCACACATAGGTGCCTTTGATCCACCCCCCCTTTTCCAAAGCAATTCACGAGTTTTTGAGCTTTTAATTCCAAATACAAAACTTATGCATTGATGACTACACGTTGTCTTAGCATGACATATGTCTGATAATTGGAACATCAAGTTGAATTGTCTTAATGTATTATAAATTGTTCTGATATTTAAAACGATCATTTAAATGTAACGAGTGCGTTTGTTTAATTAATTTCATGCACGAATAAACTATTTTAAGAAAACACTGTCCCTGAGCATGCGCAACAAAACAAAACGTTAATAACTGGGGAGTCTCCTGGCTATCTGGCTTTATTTTAAAGCTTTTAAAAATTGAGACTGTTTCTTTAAGACAAAGCGAATGTGCTGCTGGACAACATGCTGGTGAGTAGTTTGTTTCAAAGATGATTAAAAATATTTTTATAGAAAGAAAATTAAGATGGAAGCGTGGTGTCTCTGGGTGAAAACATTTATGTTAGCCGATAATTAGCTACAGTCTGTTTAAAATGTAGTTAAAAATACCGTCGACTGAGCCTTTTGTGGCGCACTTTTATTTTAGTTTTCGCCCTTAGTGTGTTGCTTTTAGTTGCAGATGAAACAATTTCACCTAGCTTTTTCAGTTAAAGTTAGGCGTCTGTGTTGAAGTCATTCGACGCCTAGTGAGTTTTTCTAGGATGTTGTGTACTAAGGTAACGGAGTTCTTTTTATTTTTATTATTTTAAGCAAGAATTAACCGAAATATAAATTTTGGCAGTCTTCTAAACATTGAATATCGCGTGACGATTAAACTCTGTTAGCCAATGAAATGCTGCCCTCGTGTGTCGTAACAAGGGTAGCTGCGGTGCTACATGTACAGATTCGACGTCTTATATTACAAAAGAAAAAACAATAGACGTGTCTCTTTTTTGTGATTTGTGTATCGTTAATATTTTAACCAATTGTTACAAGTTTAAACTTTTTTTTAATTAAACAAATTGTAATAGTGGTTTCTAAGCGGAACGCTTCCTCTTTGCCAGATTCATGTCAGGAGTATAATAAGCGATGCACCACACAACATTTATTTAAACTTAAGGTTACTGCTATTTCCATGATCAACGCATTGTGTCTTTCAATTTTTATGTTATTCACAACTTTATATTTCAGGGAAACAATAAAAATAACGGTTGTTACAGATTTTTGAGTGAAAATAAATAAATTCGTATAGTGATGTATGCGATTGCTTTCGCAAAGCATTGTGGGACTGGAAACTGGATTTTAAAACTTAAATAAACAGCTTTAGCCACACTTTTAGATCTACTTGCATAATCGTAGCTCTGTAAAAGTTATAGTCTACTAACTCCTCGCGGACTGATCGTTTAGATCATGTTTAACAGTTGACATAAACCGTGAGTGAGAACGGCGTTCCCGAGAATCACTTCTTGCTTCGACCCAGAAGTTCGTTAAGACTATACTTTCAGGGATCATTTCTATAGTTTCTAACTTGAGAAATGTGTTTCTAAAGTGTTTGGTCTCGCTAACCACGATGATGAGTCGTGATATTCCCTTCTGAGCGTGAAGCGGATAGAGAATAATGATTCAGTTCATACGTTCTCTGTCATTGATGACCGGTCTTTACTTCCTTGTGGAGTAATGAGGAAGGGAATATGATCAGAGTGGTTACGAATAGTGTGCAAAAATTATACATGTTATGAAAGTACCTAATTTTCATAACGTTTATCTACAACAGTGACAAATGTTACAATAGCTGCTTGAGTTTCAGTGAAACAGTTTACCTCATCTCTAGAACAAGTCTCAAATTAACCCTTTTGTCAAGTCATGTGTACTTAAATTGTGCATAAAAAAAGTCCCTCGTGCTTGAGGGACATTTACACAACCTATCTTATTTGTCAGTAAGAGACTGGCCTTTTGAATCTTTTCTGCTTCAACATAATGTCGCCACTATCACAAAGTCACTTTTGTAACCTTTATTTACACGTCAGGTTCCCTAATAACTTTTATAAAATTGATCTGTTAGTCTGGCCGTTCTCTCTTGTACATTTGCTGTCAGTATTGTTAGAGGTATCCATTGATTGGATGTGCTACATAGTATTATTTGCATAAACACAGTTGATTGGCCAAAACATGGTAACAGGCGGAGCGTATTGAATGTCAAAGAGGAACCCTGAGTGCGGAAGACTTTACAGAAAAGCACATGCAGTTTCCACATGTAAATACACTAAGACTATACTTTCAGGGATCATTTCTATAGTTTCTAACTTGAGGAATGTGTTTCTAAAGTGTATGGTCTCGCTAACCACGATGATGAGTCGTGATATTCCTTTCTGAGCGTGAAGCGGATAGAGAATAATGATTCAGTTCATCTGTTCTCTGTCTTTGATGACCGGTCTTTACTTCCTTGTGGAGTAATGAGGAAGGGAATATGATCAGAGTGGTTACAATGGGTACAAAAGAAATCATATAAAGCTATGTTTTCAGCAGGAATGGTTTCCTATGGCAGCAACAGGCACTACATACAAGTGTTGTCTTCATTCTTTTTGTTAACACCATTTTGTGAAACAACCGTACAGCCAGTACTTTTAAAATATAAAACAGGGCTTCTTATCATACCCAAGTATCAATAATTATTATCAACACATGATTGTCATGTCATTTTTGAGAGTGTTATGGATTTTATTCTCACCTACTTTGTATGTAGACTGAGTAGATCCCAATAATCTTTCTTACAGATGTTTCGACACTGCTGCATTTTGTGTAGGAAGGAAAATATATTCCGGCAACAAAACCAAATTTATATAGACAACAGAAAAAACAAACAAACAAAAACCTTCCCCCAAAAACAAATTAAGAACAAATTACACAAGGAGGAGGACGAATCCAAGGCCTTCAGCATCGAGCCAGACCGGACTAGCTGAATCCGTACTGATAAAAAAAGAATACCCAGTTCTACTTTAGCACACTGATTACCTGCAGGCCTTACTGAGATATTTAAGTGATAGATTCGGCCCACTGAAACATGTGAAATTGTTTTTTTATTGGAAGTAAAAAAAAAAAATCTCAAACATGAAGTGAGAACAGGTCTGAATCAAACCTTTTTGTCCAGTCATGTGTTTGTTTATTGTACATAGAACAAAAAAAAGCACATTTAAATTCCAGGTCTACAAAAACAATTTCAGAACATGTATCTGTAAAAGATGTGTAGTTATACTTTTTATGTTTAGTTACGCTTACTATACTACAGTTAAAGAATTCATAATAAACATATTCATGATGCACTCACTTCATAAATCATGAGCCAACTTTACAAGTTAAAAATATCAGTAGTCGGGTCAGCTGTGTCTCTCTGTTGTCTAATAATCTGTCTGTATGTGAAGGAACCTGCAAGTTAGCACAGTCTATTTATGTACTCAGATTGCTAAACCACCTTATATTTTTTGTACTTCATGTTTGAGGGACACTTACACAATCTGTCTAATTTGTCAGTGAGTGAGAGGCGGGCCTTTTGAATCTTTTTAGCTTCAACTGAATGGCGCAACCATCACACTTTTGTTTACTTTTATTTACACGTCATGTTCCCTAAAAACTTTTATAAAGTTGATCTGTTAGTCTGGCCGTTCTCTCTTGTACGTTTGCCCCTATTGTTAGAGGTATCCAGTGATTGGATGTGCTACATAGTATTATTTGCATAAATACAGATGATTGGCCAAATCGTGGTAACAGGCGGAGCTTATTGAAAGTCAGAGAGGAACCCTGAGTGATGAAGACTTCACAGAAAAGCAGATGCAGTTTTCTGATGTTAGCACACTAAGACTATACTTTCAGGGATCATTTCTATAGTTTCTAACTTGAGAAATGTGTTTCTAAAGTGTTTGGTCTCGCTAACCACGATGAAGAGTCGTGATATTCCTTTCTGAGCGTGAAGCGGATAGAGAATAATGGTTCAGTTCATATGTTCTCTGTCATTGATGACCGGTCTTTACTTCCTTGTGGAGTAATGAGGAAGGGAATATGATCAGAGTGGTTAGTAAAACTGTTTAAATGAAACTGAATGATTGGGTTATACACTGCTACAGTAGTATTACTCCGTGTTAATGGCAATCTGAGCCTTTCCTTAATGTCACTTCTCAGTGGCACTTCTGTGAAATCGCCTTGCACAGTTCAAAACCGGTGATACTTATTATACCAAATTATTAATGATCAACATGTTTTTCATATCTTCAGTAGATTTAAATGCCTGCTACTTTGTATGTGGGCTGAGTAGGCCCCAGTAAGCTTTGTAAAAGATTTTTCAACTACGGTGGCATCAAGTGTGATCAAATGTTGCTAATTATGCTGATGGAAAATGAAGATGAACAAGAGAAAATCAAATGTCTACATTTGTCATGTTTAACATATTTCAGGGTTTAGTTAGTGTCTTTTTGGGCAGTTTACCTCTTTAGCCTTGGAAACGCTGCAAGTATACATAGGTAGGCTAACCTATAAATATGAGGATATATGACTTATCATTCCTTCCAATCTAAAGGATCATGTGTCCTTGGAAGAGATGCAGCCGTGGGCTATTTTTTGACCTCCACAGCTGCATCAGCAAACTGTCCTTTGCTTCTGCTGCTGGAGTTGATGACTTTTAACATTTCAAGGAATTTATGTTGTTATCTGTTTTGTTCTGCACTCTGCTAGTCAAACTTTTAAGCAGAAACTAAGCCAGCAGTTGAAACTGGGGCAAAGCGCACCAAAACCTATATTACTTATGGTCATGTAACACGGGTGTTTCGAACTACACTTTGTAGCAGCGTTTCAAAACATCTGCTTAACACGCTGCTAAAACATAAATATCGAGTCCCATCCCTTTCCATCCTACACACTAGAGGTAGTTCTCAGAGGCATGTCTCAGTGTTATGGAGCAAGAGGATTGACCAACATTGGTATTTTCTCTCCTCTGTGTCTAGTGTGTTGCTCTGGTTTCATCAAACAGCAGATTTACGCAGCTCCTCTAATGCGCACACTCTTTGCTCCTCTGTCTCTTTACATCCTCTGTATTTATGTTCTTTGCATAAACACAGATGATTGGACGAGACATGGCAACTGCACAAGGTTTATAGAATAGCAGAGAAGAACCCTGACTGATGAAGACTTTACTGAAAACCACATGCAGTTTACACATGTGAGCACACTAAGACTATACTTTCAGGGATCATTTCTATAGTTTCTGACTTGAGAAATGTGTTTCAAAAGTGTACTGTCTCGCTAACCACGATGATGAGTCGTGATGTTTCCTTCTGAGCATGAAGCTGGTGGAGAAAAATGATTCATTTCATTCTCTCTATCATTGATGATTGCTCTTTGCTGAGCACTGAGGAAGGGAACATGATCAGAGTGGTTATAAGAGTGTTAAAAAGTAGTAAAGTGTGGTTTAGTTGTTTTCTTGGATGCTTGTGTTTAAAGTTTCTGTTACAGACACTGTTACCTTATTAAAAAGTCATCTTAGTTGTTGCACTGAAATCTTAAAAGAGGACTGAGGACTGTTGGAGTGTCAGGTTAGTAAATTAGAAAGAAAAAAAGTTATACATCCTTAAATGTTATCCAGGTGCTTTTACACAGTCTTACTTCTTAATGACTCAGAGACATGAACCTTTTGAATCTTTTCAACCTGAAACAAATAGTCTTTTTCATTAAGTCATTGTTATGTAACCTTTATTTACCATCCCTCTTACCTGTTATTTTTTTTCTTTTATTTAGTGCTGTCATTCTCTCTTACATGTTTGTACAGTGTTTTTTACACAGACTGGAGGAGCATGAAGCTGATAGACAGTTTTATTTCATGTGTTGTCTGTTATTGACAATCAGAGTGGTTACGCAGCCATGCCAAGAGTAAAATTACATTAATTCTTTCGATTAGGGCTGAACGATTATTGAAAATAATCTAATTGCGATTTTTGCCCCAATATTGCGATGCGATTATTTTTTAAGGTCTTTGTCTTCTGTATTATTAAACAAAGACAAGCAATACATCATATAGTATGGCCAATACTATATTACATTAATTTTAAACTGTTCTTTCCTGGAAGACAGACCTCTGTTATGATGACATGAGGTGATGCATGAATTGATGACTGACATTTATCTTCTTCAATCACAACAGTATATTTGAACATACACAATAGTTTATTTTTAGCTTACAAACATCTGAGCATAAAGTGCTGACAAGGAACCCTGGTGTAAACATTAAAATGAAAGTCAGTACAATGTGCAGATTGCAGAAATATACATAAAAAAAATCAGTGGCTTTACCACACTCAGTTTTTCGACATCTGTGAACTACTAGACAGTCATTAAATTAAAAAATAATATTAAATAAATAAAACTAATAAATAAAAAATACACACATCTTACTGATCTCTGCAGTCAGTAACATTACACATAAAGTGCAAACATAATAGCAATTGTATAAACACACACAAACACGCCTTTAAATTAAAACTGGCTGAACATCTTGATCATCTGCAGTAACAGCAACACAGCACAAACTAAAGTGCACAATGAGTATGGCTCAGCTAGCCATAATCATCCTAGCTCGCAGGTTTTTTGCTAGGAAGACCAGCATATCTACTTTTGCTGGCTTTAAGGATGAGCGAGTGCAGGTCACTATATTCCCTCCAGTGCTGAACAGACGCTCTGAGGGGGCACTTGTGGCTGGCACACACAGATATTTGCGGGCCATCTTGCACAGTCGTGGAAAGTGAATGTTGTGCACCTTCCACCAGGCTAAGAGATCATCCTCTCCGTCAATGACAGGGGTCAACAGGTAACTATTCAACTCTGCCTGCACGACATCTTCAAGTGGCAGAGGCAAAGCTGAACAGGCCGCACTGGTTTTAAAAAGACTACCAAGAGTCTTCTTTGCCTTTCCCCCAGAGGCCTGTGGACTTGGCGAATTCTGAGCAGTTTCAGTGCGAGACCTCTTCTCCTGCCAGATGGGAAGAGAGACATTAGTTTTGCAGTTAGCTTATATATAAATATTATGTGTTTGTGGAAATATAATTTTCAAGGATTTACCTGATTATGTGTACGTCCAGCCGATTCCACCATTTCTGTCTTCAGTCGGGCCTTAATGGCAGGAAGGTTGTCTGCGCTGATGTATTGCGTTTTGAACCTAGGGTCCATGAACAACGCAACATCCAAAAGCTCCTGGGTGTTGAGGTCACTATACTTGTCGTTGAGGTATGCCAGGACCTTGGTTTTAATTGATCTAGTCAGATCAGTGTCCTCAGCATCTTCAGCCAAGACTGATGTTGCCAGAAGATGGAGAACTGGCTTGAGGTAGGAGATGCTCACATACTCTTCTCCAGAAAGAGCATCAGTAAATTCGGAGAGAGGATGCAGTGCCTTATGAATGGACTCCAACACTTCAGCATCCTGCCAGGTTGGGATGAGGGAGCGTGCATGTCGGTCACCTGTCAATACCTGCGATATGGCTTTCATCTGTTCGAGCACTCTGGCAATCATTTTCTCTTTGGACCCCCATCTTGTAGGGCACTCAGTAATGAGAGAGTGCTCAGGAAGCTTAAGCTCCTTCCGTGCCTCAGTGAGTGCTGCCTTTTTCTTCCAACTGTGCGAGAAGTGCCCCACCAACTTCTTGCACAGCCCAATTGCTCTTGATACTCTACCATCTTTGATTGCATTTTCTGGAGGGAAAAAAAATAAAGTAAAAAGTAAAATTAGTGTTAGACATACAATTGCAGTTATGATGCAAGGTTTCACCATTTCTCTCTCTCTCTCAAATTGCTTTATTAGCATGACTATGGGAACAGTGTTGCCAAAGCTATTGTTACATACATCATGACATACAAGAACATAAGACCATAAGACAAAAACAAAAAAGAAAATACATAAGAAGAGGTGGGTACATCAGGGTGGGGTTGACATAACATATCTAGAATTAACAGCAGTAAAGAACAAGATAAATAATAGTGTGGTGTGTTTGTGGGAGAGAGTGATACACAGGCTCGCGCATACATGCATGCACACGCACACGCGCACACGCACACACACTCTCTCTCTCTCTCTCTCTCTCATGGCAGTAACTTACCAATAGCAAGATGTAATCTGTGTCCGAAACACTGGAGCCTGGTCCATTCGTTCAGCTGTGCTGCTTTCACATATTTGACGCGTTGTCCGTCGTTATGCAGACAAGGTTGGTCACCGTATTGACGGGCATCATGTCTTTCGCGATGCAGTGGGTTACTGCTTTGGTGATTTCCACGTGCCGTTTTGAAGTGCGTTCATATGGCGTAACACCGTCAAACAGTTCGGTCAGTGATCCTTGCCGAGTAACGTTACTAGGTTTATTCTGCACACTACTAGATTTTTTAGCCATACATCTATCATACTCTGTTTTGTGCTGAGTCTTAAGGTGCTGGTACAAATTTGTAGTGTTTCCCCGAGATGTAGAAACTCTCCCAAGACAGGTTTTAGACAGTACCTGACTCTGTGCGACATAATCTCTTTTAAACCCAAAATATTCCCACACGGCTGATGTGCAGTTCCTCTTTGGTACTAGCATCCCCGCAGGCTCTGGTTCTGTTGAACCTGAGGCCATTGTGTAGGCTACAGCTTTGCTTGCTAGTTCACTCTCGGTAGACT